GGGGGACGAAGTGCGGGCCTCCTGCCAGGGGAGCCGGTGTGTCGGGAGCTGCTCCTTGGGGCTTCCAGCCGACCTTTGCTAGAGCAGCCCGGGGCTGCACCCTTCCCAGAGGGGCCAGCTGGGGTTCTGCTGTGTGTCATAGCTTGAAGCAGGCGAAAATGCTTCATCGGGAGTTAAAGATGCTGCTTTAAAGTTATTGTCACTGTGGCATGTTAGAGTCAAAAAAACATTCCTCACACCGCTAAGTGTGCTGACTCTCACTAGCCTTATGGATGAAGATTGTGCTTTGTCAACTGGGGAGGGGGGAAAATACCTGAAAATGAAGCAGAAGCCTTTCAGGTGGTAACGTGAGTGTGAGGCTGCTATAGGATGCTGGTATTTGCTGTTTCTTGTACTGATGTCTCTTAACTAGATGTATTTCTCTTAAGACCAGCAGAGCAACAACAGGCAAAATGACAACTGTGAGATATGAACAAGGGGCAGAGCTGACAGAAGCATCCAGGTGAGTGAAATGAACCAGTGTATAGGTTTGGGACTGAAGTATGCTGTATATGGTCCCCTGTCTAGAGTTTGTTAGTGCATTAAATATAATAAAGAGAATAATGATGGAGTGCTTGAAGTTTATATACCATATAGTCTCTGTATTTCCCCCCTCTGTAGAATGCTGTTGTCTCAGAGGAGTGATATCTTTGAGAGAAGTATGTTGTTGTGATTGACTTAGAGGTAGTTAAGAACTGAGAAATACAGAGCATCCAGGCCTGGTATAATAAACGCATGGCAGTAAAGCCTACTCTCTTCTAGCCTCCAGAAAGATTGTCAAGGTCTCTTGTAGAACAAGGTGCTCTTGCTCTGCTCTCCTTAAAAGCCTAAAGTCTCAAGTTCTCTTTAGCTGTGAGCAGTCAGAAAAGCTTATGCTTTACATGGAGAGTGTGCAGGGGGAAAATAAGTTCTTCTAGTATATGCTCATTTTATTCTCTTCCACCCCAGCAGTCAAAGACTAGATGTAGTAGCTTGTGGCAGAGAGCTTGTTCCAGTTGGACAACAAGTAGATGTAGAGTGCTCAGCAAAACAAACTCCCTCTGAGGAAAGCATTATCTAGAACTGAATTTTTGTGTGAGAGCACGGTGGAAACAGTGTGCTCAGACTTAGCTTCTGTTTTCTTTTTGTGTTAAAGATTGGCTTCCTAACTCAAAACACTACTGTTGCTCATTCTTATTTTGGCTTATTTTAATCACAGTAGAGGATAAGAAGGTGGCGTTTGGTGCACTTCATGTGTCTACAAGTCTAAGCAAGTGACCTGCAGCAAAATTGCTGTAGCAGCAGCAACCTGCTTTAATGAGTGAAGCATTTCAGCTGTACATTAAGTGGAAACTTCTAGGTTAATATCTCATAAGAATAGCTGGGAAGCAAAGCTGAAAGGTCATACATCACTAGAGCTTTGCTTTGGTTCTAGGAACAAAGTGAGGATACTACTGTCTGGAGATACTGGAGATGGAAAACTATCTTAAAATAACAAAATTGTTGGGGAGTAGAGAGGGAAATAATTTGTCTCCAGCCTGCTACTGAGTGCAGGTGGTGAACTGTCAGTACTGGTTACTGACACTGTAGGAAATGCATCATTAAATTTGTGCTTAAAAGGGGGTTAGTCCACGCTGCAGAAGCAGTGCTGGTGCATGGGTCTGTTATGGAGAATGAAGAATTCTTGGATCCTCTGAGTTATTACACTAATGCTTCAAACATGTGAGACTGCCTCAGAACAGCACGGAAACATCAGTATTGAATGTGTATGTAGTTACTCTTGCCCAAGAAGCAATGATGCCAGAGATGGAGCCACAGCAAACACTGTGCCTGTGTTATTACACAGCACGGTATTTCAATGGAAATGGCTGAATTAGAAACTCCTGGATTTGGATGTAAGACTTTATTCTCTCCGAAGTCATCGTGTGGCCTTCAAAGCTTCTTAGGTGGCTGAACAAAAACTTGATCTAAAGAGACCCTTTTAAGGAAGTTATGGCAAGCAGCCACTATCCCCCAAAAGTGCTGTTCTAGCACCAGCTCAGCTGCTGCTCCTCTGGTCTTCCAGTTTCCGGTCTGGTATCCTGCTCTGTACAAAAATATCTCTGTGCTATGGCTTTTCCTGGTGAAGACATCTGTTGTCTGAACAAGTATTTACTGTAATAGCATTAGTATCTTTTGGACTCTCTGAAGCTATTTTGCATATGTGTGTTTCCAGCACTTCCAGAGTCTGGACTATACTGTTGAGTCCTTCTTCAAAGCCCTTTATCCTGTTGGTGAACACATCTGTTCCCTTCCTCCCTCAAAAGAGAAACTTTAAAAAGATGGATTGCTAACGAGAACTTGGTCAGCACAAGCCAAGGAGTTCTGCTGTGACAACATAAGGGAAGTCTTTCTTGCCCTGGTACTGTGCCTGTGCTCTGGCCCAGGCTGCTGCTCACTGCTCAGCTGAGAGTGAATATTCTTTCCTCTGGAACAGTTAAGTGTAGCAATGTATAAAGTTGACATCTGTGTCAGTATATGACTTGTGTTATTCCTTTGCCAGCTCTCCAACAGCAGAAGAGCCCACAGTAAAGATTGATGATGGTCGTGATGAGGATAATGAACCAGACAGCTGTTCCGGGTAAGCTAATGATATACTAAATGCCTTGGTTACCCAAAAAAGTGGGAACTTTTGAGCCAAAATAAGAAGGCAGATGGCTTGCTGAGGTAGAGATAAGCACAGAAAATCACTTGTTATTGACATTTGTTCTAGTACATAATGAAGGCAAGTAAATTCAAGAAGCTTCTTGATGTCTCTAGAGGTGAAAGCCCAACTCAAGAACTAGCTACAAGTTTATCATATTATGGAGAATGTGTGATCCAAACTGCATTGGTTACATTTTCTCAAAGGAGTGAGTTTGTGAGAGCACAGAAGAACAAATGCTGGTGAGAAAATGAGGTGAATGAATATCTGAGGCAAATGATAAATTGTGCCCTCATCAAGAGTAAACTGTCTGAACTTGCTAGTGATTAATTCTGTTATTGAAGTTGTTCTTTTCTAACAGTGTTTAGCTCTTGTCACTGGATTACTAACTCTTAGAGTGTATTTAGTCAAGTCAGTGACGAGTGAATAGACTTGTTTGTCTGTTCCTGCAGCTCAAGAACAGTAAGATTAAGGCTGTTATCTCAGATCCTCTATGTGACAACATGTCTTTCTAGAGTTCAGAAGTTGGCATTTACAAATGCATTTCACAAAGGCTTTAAGGTGAGTATGTGAGCAAATGTGCCACGTTCTCTTCCACTGATTTAAGATGTTGGCAGACCAAATTGGAGTGGTGTGTATATAGTTCAGTCTTTAGTATACCTAATAAAGGTACTTGTCCTTAGACTGTGGAAGCTGAAGTCTTGGTATACCTACTACATTTGTATTGTAGGATTTACTGGGGAAGGACATAGACCAACCAACTGTTAGTATAATTGTTGCAGTGCTTCCTTAGACATGCATAAATGCAAGGAAAGCCTTCTATATGCTAGGCTGCCTTCAAAGCAAGACATGTTGTTACATCCTTGACTTCCATGGGAAAAGTAGTTATTACAACCTAAGTATCTCCTTCCTGCTTAAGGATGCAGATATTTGCTGGTTAGACCTTGTTACTTGTTTTAAAAATAATGAGAATTGTGTGTTAATTCTGTAAGCCCAGCAAGATGCTTCCTCATCACTTCAAAGATATCTAGCCTTGTCTTAAACTGAGTTATTGAGGTGTTACAGATATGCACCAAGTGAAATGCAATACTCAAGTTACCCTAGAGGAAACAAGTAGCTCAGACAGGATCACTGGGGTGCAATATGCATTATTGAGCTGACAAAGACTTCCTGTAACGGTGGTATCTTTACTGGTGGTGGGGAGGGGAAGTGTAGTAACTGTATATAACAGGAATGGTAGGGTAGCTATGTGAACAATACAAAAGGAATCTGCCAATACTTTTTGTCAGTATGTCAGAACTTTTGGTAGGTCCTACTGTTAGTGGGACTCTAACACTTGGATAAAGTGTTTTCTTTTAAGTGTCTAAGAAAAGATTCAGTGCTTACAGTAGTTAAGTAATCCCAAGATTATTTAAGACTAACAATCTGTTTTTCAAACTGTCAGAACTTGGAGTTTGCAGATAATTGCTTCTACCTTAGTTCTTGGTGTAGCCTAAAGAGACTTTCAGGTAGTGAGATAGTTACACAAAGGTCTAGCTTTAACCAGAAGGCTTTAAGCATACCTAAGAGGCAACATAACTGAAAACAGGAGCTGGAACCCTTCTAGGGCTGGAGATAATTCTCATAATTGGAAGAATGTAGTTTCAGTAATTCATTTTCTTAAGAGTTTTCAATCTGAAAGCCAAACCAATATTTTATTTTAATGGTAGAAGAGGGATTTGTCTTCCTCTATTCCAAGGGCACAGAAGCAGTAGTGGAGCTATTAACAAGTGCAGCTTTTTCCAGGCCTGGGGAAAAAAAAAGCTTCTGATACAATAAGATTGTATCTTGAACAAGATACCTTAAAAGATGTTTGTCCTTTAATCTTCCTCTTGACTAATAGCTATTATATAAGCCCACTTCTAAAGCTTATAACTGGGCATTAATCCAGACTTCTAATGCCACTGGAATTGTGATACTGAATAGTGTTATGTGTAAGTACATACTGCTGTATTTCTAGGGTCTGTAGCTGGTGAATGTTTCCTGACACGTGGTCAAAAACATTGTTTTCAAATACTGTCTTAACCTATATACTTAATGAATGCAACTGAATAATATCCTCTTAAAGAAATCACTACTATACAGAATTCTAAAACCAAAATAATGTAACAGTGCTCTTGTGGCTAATATCAGTAGCAAGATGTCACTTGTCTTGATGCCAATTCTCTTCTCTTGCAGTGCAATTAGGAGAAAGATTTCCCCATTTGTGATGTCATTTGGATTCAGGTAAAAGATCATGCTTGTAATGATATGGGCAAGGTAGAAATAGTGCTTGTTTCTGGTGTAAGAACTTGGAGAGTTCCTTGAAAAATAGTGACTCCAGCCTGCTCTGTCTGGAAACTCTTCTATCACTCTTAGAAAGGGTGGCTTAAGAAAAATCTTTGATTGGGAAAGAAGGCTTAAAAAGACATGATTACGTTCTCCAAGAAGAGCTGAAAGGCAGTACTGTAAATGCTGTTGACTTGGATAAAAGCCTTTGAGCAACCAGTTGGTCAGTTGTATGCAGTGTAGGTGCTGAAACAAGGTAAGCCATTAAAGATAGTTATTTTGAAGGGAGTACACAAAGTCACAAGTGGGAGGCAAGCTGAGTAAGCTGAAATACAGCTCTGACACTTGTGTTTCTTAAAGCATTCAGGTTTGCACCACTTCTAGGTAGCTGTGGAAATATGGGTTAATAACTATAGCTGAGTGATGTAAATGTAAAGTTCCATATGGATGATGCACTCTGTGCAGATCACTTAAAAAAAGCAATTTGAGTCCTTCAGCTGCTTATACAAGCAGGCCTCAATCTGTATATAATAGAGCACTCACTGGAACAGCTTCAAACAAAAATCTGTGCTTGTGCTCTGCAGTCAATAAATGCTGGCAATTTGTTCCTACCTCTCAAGTTGTCTTGTGTTTTTCTTTTTGCAGAGTATTTGGAGTTGTACTTATCATTGTGGACATTATAGTCGTTATTGTGGATCTGGCTATCAGTGAGAAGAAGGGTGTTAGAGAGATTCTTGAAGGTGTTTCCCTGGCAATAGCGCTCTTCTTTCTCATTGATGTTCTCCTGAGGGTGTTTGTTGAAGGGTAAGGCATGGACAAAAATTAAGTCAGTGTGGCAAATCCTCAAGCTAGTAAGGAGGCAATACTTCAAGCTTGGACTATAAACGTGGATACCCTGTAGGCTAATTTTCTACTCATAGACAATGGCCATATCTCTTTTTTTGCTGTGCACATTGGGTGTTACACTTCTATAGGATAATCTGTAAAGTGCTTTTGGTATAAGTGAGCACTTGGAAACTGCATCAGCTTTGCTGATGATTCTTTTCTTAGTGAGTCTTCAGTGCTTAGTGTTAAGAACTACTTCAGGAGAGCTTGTCTCTAGTGGTGGCTCTGTATAGGCGATTCTCTTCCTGAAGACTTATTTCAGTTTTTTCTATCCATATAGGCATCTGTCTAAAATTCTCCTTTGTTTTAGTTTCAGGAACTATTTCTGGTCCAAACTGAATATTTTAGATGCATTCATCGTGGTGGGCACTCTTTTAATTAACATGACATACTCCTTCTCAGACCTTGCTGCAGCAGATCAGATACCAAGGTAAGAATGGTATGGCAGCTGTTAAATGTGAGCTCTCTTTTCTTTATAGTCTTCTAAGAATATTCTTGGGCATCTCTAAGCTAAATGTGTATGTACCAGATCACAAATATGGCTGTGGTAGTATTTCATGGTACAGACTAATGAAAGATAGACACCTAACTTTGGTTTACAGCTATACTGTAGACTGTCCATGTCTCAAAGGTGGAGATGATCTAAACATCAGTTGGGGTAATTAAAAGTGAATAGTGGGGCTACCAAATGCTCTGACTCAAGCATTTGTTTGGGGAAAGGTGTGCAGCAGCCCAGATAAAGAGAGGAGAGTCTGAAGAAGGTCAGAGTTGTATTATAATAACGAATGGAACAGACAACTGAGGGAGGTTCTCTAATGGATCTTGAAATAGAAAGAGTTGCCATACTGTCTTGTTACTTCCACCTTAGTTTTCCAAAAGCCCCATTATATGGGCACCAATCCATATGTTGGATTTTTCAGCTATGCCCTGGGGAGGGGAAACACGCTGCTTATGTGCATAAGTTAATTCAAGTAATTTCCATCTGATTGCTGTAGCTAGGTCAGATGATAACCTGTGAGAGGAATCCATTTCTGATGGAGACAGAACTAAGATTAGTTTGTCTGCACTAGGTTTGAATTGGTGAATCTTGCTTCTATCAGACAGGGAATGAAGTTAATCTCTTTTTTTCTAAAAAAAAAAATCTCCCTCCCAATTCAGCTGGCTACTGGGCACAAGGAGGGGAAACATTCTTAGAAACCAACTCAGTCTAGTTATTGAAGAATCCAGAGTTGGACAAGCACCTGGAAGTACTATTTGTCTCTTCAATTGCCAGCTAAATGCAGGTTTCAAAAAGGAGGACTGTCAAAGGAATAGCTTTTGCAGCCTCAGAATCATAAAAGGCTGTTTCCTTCTAGGTCTTTTTAAACATTAATCTGAGTTTAATGGTTACTTTCCATCTCTGGCCACACTTTTCTAAAGCAGCTTTCATCTTATGGCAGTATCTAGTTAAAGGTAGGAGAAATAGCACTGTGACAGGGTAATCTGCACTCCTGTCTTTACTGGGCTATGTTAGCAGCGCTCCTGACCCTGCACTGACCCATCCTGTTGTAGGTTGGTGTGTGCAAGTTCCTTGTATTCTGACTTGCTGAAGTTGATGGGGATTTAAAATAGGCTTTTTGGTCACATAAAAAGGAGCTCACACTGATACTCTCAGAAGATACTCCTCTGGGGCCTACCATCTCACCCATGCAGTTCTTGAGGCCCTCTGAAAGACTTTCCTTGTTAAGGGTTCTTCAGTCCTGTTCTGACCAAAATATTACTACATGGCACTAGATGATACGTCAGACTTGGTCAAACCCCAACTCTTGAGATGAGATGGTCTTCCCACCTAACACTCCAGTATTCTCCACACAATCCCACTAATTCCTAGTAGCCTACCTGGAGTTTATAACTTTTCCTCATAGATCTTCTTCAAGAAGCAAACATCAGTCTCAAAGCATCTGATACATCTCAGAATAATTAGAATCTGAGTAGCTTTTATGTGGATGAGAGTGTATATGTGACAAGTGAAATTTCAGTGGCAGTCCATAAGGGTAACATGCCCTGACAGAAGGGTATGGTGTCCATTTCTAATCTGGTCTTGTTAGGTGTGTGTTGGGATGAGCTACCTGTTTCCTTAAAGTCCAACTTATAAAAGGTCACTGAGGAATGAGGGCTGGGTATTGATCTGGGAGCTAATGCTTAACTGGCTAACTTCCTGAAGGGCAGAATGCAAACTGCTTTTATCTGGAACAGCTGTTTCTCACAGTTGTGGTTCAGGTGGGAGAGAGGGGCTGTGGAATCTTCATTCCAGAGTTGGTCATCTCCTTGGCTTCCAGCTCCATGGCTGCTAGCTCCAAGGGAGCTCTGGTTGAAAACAGCAGGGTGATCCTGAACTAGGAAAGAGCTGAGGGAAAAATTGAAACTTTCCTCCAGATGTCAAGGGCAACCTTGTCTTGTTGTCTTTAAGCTCCATGTTAGTGAAGAGCAGACTGTCTTCAACTGGAGGTGATGGAATAATGTTTCCACAGTATTCATTCCCCTTAGCATAGGTATTCACCAGGATTCTTACCTAAGTGTATCAGGACCTGAAATGTGTGCATGTGCTCCTTAAAAGTAATGCTCACATGCCTCCTTAAGGAACAAATGTTAATTTGTCCTAGTCCCTAAGGGTGTTTGAAAGCAGCTGCCCCTGTTCAGTTGTTCTGGTAGAACCACTCACATAAGCATCTTGCCCGCTTCAAAGTTCAACAGTAGTTCAAAGTTCCTCAAACCAAGTCATCTGCTCAAGCTGCTGAATGATTAAACACAGGGTTAATACTGATCTATTCTCAGGTTTCTTAATCAAGGCATGATGTATATAGCCTGTCTAGCTTATTTTTTCAGCTGTTTTTCAAGCAGCTACTTGCACTTAAATGTATACTTGACAACAAGATTCAAGGAAAAATAATTTAGGGATGATAACATAGTGTTAATTGAATTTGTTGCTTGCTGGGCAGAGGTGCTTGTGAGAGTGTTTGAACAAGTGGTGGGTTTCTTAGTTCTGTTAGCTCTCCGAACATGTACTCCCCAAAAAACTCTTTACAATAAAACCACAGTATTCTTCAAGCATAGTATTCTTTCTTTAAAATCGGCCTGAGAAGTCCTAGTTCAGTATATGAAACAAAGCTTTAAACTGTCTCAAACAGCTTTTAAATAGCTTTAAGCTTTGCATCTAAGTATAATTGTGTTCACTTTTTCTTTTGTGGTGAATCTTATTTTCATCTAGAATGGTTACTGTCCTCCGAGTTCTGAGAATTGTCATCTTAGTAAGAATATTTCGCCTGGCTTCACAAAAGAAGCAACTTGAAGTGGTGACCAGGAGGATGGTAAGTCAGCCTTTTAATATATCTAGGCTACTGTTACTGTTTCCAGCTTTCTCTCTCCAGGCAGCCATCAATGGTGAGTAGCAAGACTGCCCACAGCCTATAGGTCTGCAACTGATAATATTGCCTAAGTACCATGTTTGCTTGGTGTCCCTGACAGGGTACCAGAGCTTTGCCTCCAGCTTCAGTGTAGCTAATAATTCTTAACTTTGCTCAAGTAAGCAGCAACTTGATCTGGAAGGCCAGCATATCAAAATGATTGCAACACCACCATGTGTCTCAATTGATAATTTCTAGTTTGTTTGGTACATAGACTGGTTTCCCTCACATGGGGGAGGATAGGAATTTTAATGTTTCTGCTGCTTATTTCAGGTGAAAACAAAACAACCTAGCTGTTGAAGCCGTATCCATTGTAAATGCCTCTTCTTTATTTTCATTAGGGTACTAAAGTAGTACTTGAACCTTCAAGTAAGTCCTCTTGCACAGGAATAAGCAGTCTTAGTTACATTGCCCTTAACTTCTTCCTTCCTTCCTTCAGCCCCCAGACACTCAAAAAGCAATGATGGATTTATGGTGCAGTCTGCAAAGAATCTGCAGTGTTCTTTCCACTTTGATACTTCAGGGTAAAAACTCTACGGAGCTTCTACCTAAAAGCTAACATGATAAATGTTGTATATTATTGGCTAATGCTGTGAACTTTGCCACAGCAAAATGAGGCATTGCTGCTCATGACTTAAATCAACCATCTAAACTCCGAAGTTTTCTTAGTAACAGGCAACTCTTGTTCATCTTTGGCATTCCTTTGGAAAACTAACTCTACTCTTTTTTTGACAGGTCTCTGAAAACAAAAGGCGTTATATGAAAGATGGCTTTGATCTGGATCTCACTTATGTTACTGGTCTGTAGAAGCAAATGACCCTTAGCAGCATGTTATATCCTGTTAACACTACTTATTCAGTTAATAAGTGCTTGACATGAAATGCAGGCAATGTTTTAGACTAATGAAACTTAAGTATGAAGTCAAACCCAGCCTACTCCTTTTCTGTGGGATTTTGAAATGTGGATTCCTGACTCTAACACTGTTCTCAACTATTAGCCTTCTGGGAGAGAGGTTGTGCATGCTGTATGTAATGATAGAAGTTGTTCTGAGGCCTAGGGAACCACAGCTGAGAAACTGTTGACTAACACATAGTATTTTTGCCTGTGATTCTATGGAGACTGACACTTAATGGTAGCTGATGTTTCAGGAAGTATTATTCTCCTGCTCTAGCTATACTAAATGCAGAAGAAAACCTCTCAGAAATGGGTAGGTGGTTCTTATAATTAGTGTAGAAATAAGCTGTTTCATAATATTGCTCTCAATCATGTAGTTCTTGCGTGTGGGAGGGTTCCCTCTGTTACTTCTGATTGCTGTCTTTTCCACAGATCGCATTATTGCAATGTCATTTCCATCTTCTGGGAAGCAGTCTTTCTATAGGAACCCTATAGAGGTAAAAATCTCATATCTAGCAAGTTTGGTATATCTGAATGCTGTTTCCCTTCTAGGTTCCTGCTAATTTACATGTGGACTAGGCTGTCAAGTCAATCCTAGTCCTGCTGCCTCAGCTGGTTGGAATGACTAAATGGTGGTTTCCCCTGAGCTGCACTGCCTGTGTTGTAGTCTCTTAGCTAAGCCTAGTGGGATACATCTTGCAACCTGCAGACACTAGCGCTCTGACGCTCCTGTTCCTTGGGAATGCTTCAGAGAACCAAGGCAGTTCTGTCCCAGGCTAGTAATAGTACGAGTGATGAGAACTGTACACTCTTCTAAATGAAGATGGTTAAAAGGTCTGCATTAATGCCCTTTAGTGCCATGCTGCCTGATATTGTGGAAATGTATATATGTAGGGCAGGGAAGATAGCTGCAGTAGTACTTTTATTCCAGACAAGAACCTGATGTTGGGCTGGAGAGGCCTGCTGTTCAAGGGCTGTTTGTGAGTGCAGTTGCTGACCCCCCTTGAGGGGGGTGGGGGATGAAGTAGCAGTGGAAGTAAGGAGTAGAGTGCTAACTGCTCTGAACTCATATCTTCTTGTTGCTTTAGGAAGTTGCAAGATTTTTGGACACAAAACACGCAAACCACTATAAAGTCTACAATCTCTGCAGTAAGTATGTTTAGCTGCTGACTGTATTGAAATACTGCTAAATAGAAAAACATCTCTTCAAGGTATGGTGCTGGCAATACTAGATCTTCAAGAATTTAAAGTCTGTCAAAAGTACACAGCTGTCTCTGACTACCTTCTGTCCTGAATGTGGCTATTGACTTTGAGCATCTGATACATGGTACTGAAGCCTGCAAAGGAAATACTGGATGCCTTGCAGTTTAGGCTTCCTTGCTCATGCTGAACTATTGATTCAATTTTCTAAAACTCTACTAAAGAAGTAGAAAACTATACCTGGTCTTAAACTTGGGGTGATGTTGGAGGATATTTTAATTAAGGCTTAGTAGAAAGGTGAATTAGTAGTTAAAAGCTCTTCTGCTGGTAGCTAAAACAATGAAAAATACTTAAGGAACAACTATCATGTGGTTTCTGCTTTCATAGTAGAGCATCAGAGCTGGAAGTAGACAGGTATGATATAGAAGCATCAGTACTGAAGTCCTGAGAAAGTACAACTGTCCTTTAGCCAGAAGAGGGATAGATGAGGAGTGTGGTGTTAGCAGCTCCTTACCAATTTGTAGGTGGTTGTTGCTGTGGTTTACCCTGACAGTACATCGGAACATCAACTTTCAGATACCTAAGTAACTCCTATGGAAAGGAATGACTATCTGGGCCTGGAGGTGAATTTTTGCTTAAGAGTGAGAGGTGTGAAATTAAAAGCTAAGCAAGCGTGGTTTTAGCCAAACTACTTCATAGCTTTTCCACCTTGATCTATCTATGTTTACCACTGTACTTTAAACACTAGTGCATGCTCAGACCAGCAGTTGTGTGTCACAAGACACTTTCTTTGTTGCAAGTCTGTTCTCTTTCCTGGCATAACTCCAGATCTTTCCTTGTAGGTGAAAAAGGCTATGATCCCAAGTACTTCCACTACAGGGTGGAAAGGATCTTTATTGATGACCACAATGTCCCAGCACTACAGTGAGTCTTGTCAAGAAATATGTGTATCGTGATTGTTCTATGTGGGCATTTGCTTTGATCTGATAATTTTCCTCTTATCTAGGGACATGCTGAAATTCACTGCCAGTGTCCGTGAATGGATGAGTCAAGATGAAAAGAACATCATAGCAATTCACTGTAAAGGAGGCAAAGGTAGGACTTCTCATGTGTAATCTGTGTATGCTACAAATTACATGCTGTTTTTATCATGGCTTCTTTGATGTAAGTATGGCCTTAAGTGATAGCATGAAATAGGTCTAGAGTGTAACTTGCCGAATTCTGCAGACACTGAGTAGCAACAGTATAGTGCTGTGTTTAGTGTTACACAACCTGATTTCTAGGTAGCCCACATTGGTTCTTAATCTAAGTTGGCATCTGATCTCTTAAAATGGTCTTCAGTAACTTCCTGCTCTCCTGACTGCTGGGGCAGCAGTGTCCCAGGAGAGGCTGGGGATAGGGAGCTACTGAAACTGCTGCTATCAAAAGTGTTAAGCTGCTGCTTTGGCTCCCTGACAGCCAGTCACCCACACTGAATATCCTGCATTGTAATATATCTCAAGCTTTTTAATTTCTTGTAGTGTGTGTGTGTGTGTGTGGGGGGGGGGAATGTAGGTACTACTGGATCCTAAATCAAGGTTTTATGTGATAGAGTACAATGTAGTCTTATGGGGATAAGATAGTCAAAGCTACTGCACATAAGATGACTTGTGGGTGCTATCTGCCACCTGTAGTAATGCAGGAGCTGTTGAAGTGCATAGATAGCTGTGCAAATAAGCCCTGCAAACATCTGCCACATCTTTAGCTGCTTACTGTTACTACTGCAAATACTTGGCTTAAACCAGGTGGTTACTTAACATAAAGAAGGCTCTTTTCCCCCACTTGGAACCATAGCTTAAAGGGTCTTGCTAAACTGAACATTAAAACTACCTGCACGCCAAAATGAGCTTGAACAAGTGTAGGGAGGGGTGACTTGACCTTTTGAGTTTTTAAATTCAAAACTGAAGCTATATTGGAGTCTTTGTGCTAGCAGTCTTGACGCTTTCTTAATAGGGTTGGGGGGGAAAACGTTGGGAGTAGAGAAGCAATTCTTGAGGCTTAGAGCATTGGCAAGTGCCAGTCTATAACCTAAGCTAGTAGTGTGTACTTGACTCTATCCCTTGCTAAATGGAGTGTGCAGATACTGGCCAGCTTCCCAAGTATCTCTAAGAATACTACCAAGGAATGTGGGGACTGCTTTTAAGGAACAAGTTAGCAAAGTGTAGTATCTTGTCTTGAACTCACTTTTCCTAGAAGTACAGGCATATGACTACTCTAGTGTCACTTATAACTTTTGAAATATGAGGTATAACAGAAGATAAATTCATTTTCACAAAAATAATCCCCAATACCTTTGAACTCCTGTAGTTCAACCTGTCTCTTACTTCTAATACAGGCAGGACTGGAACAATGATCTGTACCTGGCTCATAGATAGTGACCAGTTTGAGAGTGCAAAGGTAAAAACTGATGTTTGTTTTTTGATTCTTGTAGTATTCAAAATGTCCCTTTTAGAACCTACTTAATTGATGAAATGCATTAATATTCCACAAAAAGTCTATACTGGAAAAAGGATGCTCTGAAAAATCTGTTTAAAAAAATCTTGCAAATCTTGCTACTATGTAAGTTCCTTTCCAATGAAAGCTATTCTTTATCAGGAAGAACTGGGAAAGTAGAATTCTATAAGATACCGACTTCGAAGCACTTTTTTTGGAGGCATAGTAGACCTAGGATCTTGAGCAACAACTTTCTTAAGCTGTAGGTGGCTTCTGAGCATGCTCTACTGTTTTTAAGTAGTCTCAAGCAATTTTTTCCCCAGCCTCTCTTTAAGTAGTGTGAGGCATTAGGAGTTATCTTTGCTGCCCACATTTACAGCAAGAAGCCCTTCTGGAGAAAGGGGGAAAAGATCAGCAAGTCCCAGCCAGGACAGTTGCATGTGGTGCTTTAGTATCCCAGGTCTGGCATATTGATCTGGAGACCTGGGTTGGAGAAGGCAGGCCTAGGTCACTCAAGGTAGTCTGGGCAAAGTGTGTGTTCGTTTCCTCACTTGTTTTTCTACCAGTTTGGGTTGTAAAGATCTACACTAACGTTCAGCTTGGTCTGACACAGACCAGTTGAGAAATGTAGATGCTTTTTAAGCAATTGCTTTAGAACCATATTGCTCTTTCTTCAATGAGCTTTATTAGCACTCTGTCATGGATGACAGACTTAATGTATCCGACTTCCTAATTAGTACTTTCTCATTCTAGTTAAAAGCCTCCTTTAGAAGGTACCAAAACAACTATTGAATGTTTTAACTTGTGTTCCCTTATTGGAATAGACTAGTGCAATTCTGGTTTACTCTCCCCTTCCTGAGAAGGTGAATGGTGGTGAGATTGATATCTTAACCCTTTAAATTATCTTCTGACATAGGACAGTTTGGACTACTTTGGGGAGAGAAGAACTGATAGAAGCACAAGTACCAAGTTTCAAGGGGTTGAAACTCCATCCCAGGTGAGCTTCAGCAGGTCCAATAACAGTAGCCAAACCAACAGTAGCCTTCTGAGTGCTTACACTACGCTATCTCCCCTGCCTTGTTTCAGAGATGTAGGTTCCTACTACATGCTTAACTGCTGATCCTTCTGTACCCTTTCTTTAAAGGTTGGAAGCCTATCAGCTAGAAGGGTTGCACTGCATCTTCCCCCCCCTCCCCTTTGTCCAAGTACATTCCTTATGCCCTTCTCTGCTTAATGCCCTCATATCTGATAATATCTAAGGTAACAGAACTGTTGAGATTAGGAGAGCTTTCAGTCCAACCCCACTGTTTAACCAGAGTGAGCTTAAGCAGGTTGCTGCGGGCTGTGTCCTGTCAGGTCTAGAGTATCTCCACAGATGAAGACTCTACAGCCTCTCTGGGAACCCTCACATGAGCATGACCCTGTAAGAGAATTGGGCTGTTTATCAAGGATGCGCTAAAGCCTGTGTCCTGGCCTGGGGAGGGACTATGGCACTGATATGGCTAGGTAGAGGAATGCATCCTCTAGATGCATTCACAAGGAAATAGTAAACAACTTATTGCCTCAGATCACAGTCTGGGGCTTTGCTCATTTTGATTCACTGTGTACTGTGTTATTCTGAGCTGTGAGATGAAGCTGGTGACAGAGGTACTTTAGTTGCTCGTATAAAATAGAGTGAAAGTACAGCTGTCCTTCAGAGTGTGCTTCTGTAAAATGAAAAGTACCTTGTACACTTAAACATTCTGCCCCTTAAAGCTGCAGTATAAAAGTTCCTCACTTCTTGCTGAACTAAAATACAAAATTCCTCTTAGAACATGAAGCTTAAATACTGCTTAAAAATGTAGATGTTGAATTTATCTAGAGGATTGTTTGAACTGTGGAGGAGAAGGAAAACAAATGGCTACTTTCTGCTTAGCTTTGGACTTAGAGCTAAGAACTTGGAGTAGAAGATTATATTTAATCCTACTTCTGCCTAGAAGTAGTCTGTATGGGGTACAGAAACTGCATAATGTGTCTGGGTTTTTTGCATTACAGAGTAGGTATGTTGGGTATTATGAGATCCTGAAAAACAAGTATAACTTGAAACTCCCACCAGAGAGACAACTCAAAATAAAAAACCTCAAAATCCACTCTATTCATGGTAAGATCTCTTGAATTTGGGCATTTGTCTATCTGGTAATGGTTTCCTGTTGCAGGCAGCTGTTCTCTACTGTCTCTCTTGCTTAAGCCTATGATAGACTTACTGTTACTAAGTAGACTTACTGGGGCTTGAGAATTCAAATGGCACAATTAAAATACAATGAAGAGTATTTTGGAGTGCAGTTGCCCTTTGTTGTGCCACTTTCTGGGTGTCTGGTCAAATGGTGGCTCACATGCAACCTGCTCTGTTTTGGGAGGGGAATAGGTTTTCAAGTGAGATTAACTCCCCATGTGGAACGGGATCCACTAATATTTCTCAGCTTGATACACACACCTGTTTCTGTACACATGTACTGGTAATCTTGATAAAAGGCTGGAAGTTCAGCGTTACTTATTCTAGGGGGCTTCAAACTGCTGTTCTTGTTCAGTCATGGAGCTAGACTCTACATTAGCCTGTTCCTGCCCCACTAGCAGGATTCACTGCTACTTCAAAATACAGCTTTCAGACACTGAATCTTGAGCTACCTTTAGGATTCGAGTTCCCTAAAGTCTATTACAAGACATTCTGGAAAGAAGGCACTTTTGAATTAGGTTGCACTTGGGTTTCATGACTCTTTATATTTCCAGCTAATGTATGTACTCTGGTATAACACAACTCTTTCTTCCTAGGAGTTGGGAAAGGCAATGGAACTGATATGAAGGTGCAGATAATAGTGAAGAAGCAAGTTGTACTAGAATGTGTATGTGCCACTCAAGGAAACTGCAAGGTGAGAGTACTATGAAATCATGGCAGTTGAGTCACAGGAGCTGAAAGCTGACTTACAGGTTGAAAGTATCTTCCTGTAGAAGTTGAATACTTGACATAAAACTATCTAACTAAATGGATGCTGTAAATCCTGAGAGGATGAAAAAGCTAAGCTTTGCTAAATAATAAGAAAAGTAGTGGTAGGATAGTGAAAGATTTCCCTATAAGTCACTTAAATGCAGTAGCTCACTCTGATCTGTTTATTTTAAATTGTTGGCTATTTATTCTAGCACTGCTATTGTATTTGTATACCATGAATGAATAGCTAGGTATTGTAATGAATTTGTCCCTTGCCTCTCTGCAGTAAGTTTTCATGAAACTAATACTTTATTCTGTTGTCCAGCTTTTCTTTGATTCTGAAAGTGACGCTGTAGTCATTGGCTTGGAAGACAGCCCTGTTATAAGTGGTGATGTGAAAGTCAGATTTGAATCGCATTCTGTAAGTATAACAGTGTGAAGACCTTCACTTGAGTGTGAGGAGAGGCTGCAGTGCAAACTGCAGCTGGGTGCTGGCTGTGCTGTGCAGGGCAGAATCTGTTCCTCCCAAGTGACTCCTGCTGTGTGGGGGTGGCCCCACTGCAGCAGCTGTTACTCCACCCCTGTGCAGTGAGCGGTGCAGCAGATGTTGCTGTGTCAACCTGTGCGGGCAGGGGAGGCATCTGGCTCTTCATATAGTACAACCAAGGCATCTTGATTGAGTACCTGCTGCTTCTAACATGGGTCTCTTGCTTCACTGTGATGAGTGACCTAGTCCTGAAATAAACTCAGTGAAAATAGTGATCTGGGTGTGATATCAGGCTCTTCAAGTGTACTGAATCTGGCACTGTAGTTTTGTAAACCAAACTACTGGGGACAGTTGGGTAGTCTTGCTCTGCAAAAAGTGAGTCATATTATTTAATGGAATTCTTAAACAAGGTCTTTGTGTTTAGGATCTCCCAAAAGGCTACGATAACTGCCCATTCTTCTTTTGGTTCAACACTTCCTTTATTGAAAATAACAGGTAAGTGATTATAGTGACTACCTTCAGATCCTAACTTCTGGTGCCTGAACAGTGCTGAAAGTTCGTAAGCATAGTCCTGAAAGCTGAAGTAGCTGACTGATCAAGCTTGTCTTAGCTTCTGTGTGGGTACTAGTCTCTGACTCTCAGCTGTAACTTGCAAGCAGGCAGTTGGCAAATGCTTGTTTGCACTGTGCCAAGTGTTTTAAACATACGTGGGCTCTTTTATCTTAATCAACTTAATCCACTGGACTCTTTTCTCAGCACTCTGAATTTCAGTTCATTAACAGTACTTAAAGGTAATGCTAACTATTCAAACCAAAAGCAGCTCTGCCACCCTCTATAGCATGGCTGCCTGAGAGGCTGGAACTCATTCAGCAGCTTAGCAGACAAACATTAAGACCAGAGTTAGAGGTACTGATGCTTGGGATCCCCAGGAAAGGCTTTACTACTGCTTCTCATGCTTTTGTTAAAGTTTAGAAATTACTGTGTTTGTTCTTGTTGAGACTAGAACTCCTGGGGGAGCTCCAGCCAGTGAAAGCTGGGCTTGCCTGTCTTGCTAGGGGAGTGATGTAGAAATGCAGAGACAGGACAGGCTTATCTTCTGTCTACCGAACTTGACAGACTTAAACCAAGGAACAGCAAACTTGACATATGATATAAAATTACTGTGTTCTCCATGACTGGAATAGGAAAGAAACAATTTTGATTTAATGGATCCCATCAGAGCATGAGGAGAGGTGGCCATGAGTCTGTTCATAACTCTGCATTGCTGGCTCAGCATATTAAATTCATCTTGCAGTCTAGGAGCAGATATCTAGTTAGATCAAACCAGTGCCAGGAGAAAAGTATGCCTGCTGTCTGACAGCCCTGCAACAGTGCCATCTCAAATGTCTCACCCATGTGCTTTGTTTCCTCCAGTGGGAGGGAGGATGCCTCACCAGACCTTCTTTTAAGCACAGTTTGGTACAGACTATCCCCCTTTCTGCCCAGAGAATTCTGGTAGACCTGAGGTGGACTAGGTCTGATTGGAAGTGAAACAGCTGTTAAGGCAGTGCTCCTGTCTCTGTATCTGTAACTCATCCACAGCTGATGTACAAGTGCTATTAAGTGATAACTAGGCATGAATTTAAGCATTAAGAGTGGAGAACATGCCTGATGAGCTTGACCAAGTACTGAATCAAATCCTTGCCATTACAAATGTCAGTTTATTAAATTCCTGACACTTGCATCCTATCAGGAGGCCTTGAGCTAAATATAACACTAATTTTACTCTAATCTTGGATTGTGCAGCTCTGAAAAAAACCACCACAAACCCCTCAGGCTGACTGTATGTTTCTCAGACTACTTCAGATTCAAAGTTCTGTGCAGACATGGCTGATGTCTGTCTGAATTCAAGATCTGGGGCTGTACTTAATATTCCAGGGTTGAGCTTGAAGTTCTCTTGGCTGTCTGAAAGGAAAAGCATGTGTTGGATTGTAAGGTATGCCACTGAATTTTGTCTTTCAGACTCTACCTTCCCAGGAATGAGCTGGATAACCCTCACAAGTCTAAAACGTGGAAAGTCTATAGTGAGAAATTTGCTGTGGAAGTGAACTTTATTGAACCGTAAGGGAAAGCTGAAAAAAGGGAACACATTCATCTCTTTTCCTGGAGAATGTCTTGCTGCTTCAGTATAAAGTGAAGCAGTCTCATTTTGGTGTACTTAATGTATTTCTGTGTAGATACAACTTCTCAAATAAACCTACATGAAGTTCTGTTGTGCAGAGCAATAATACTCTGGAGTGACTTAGTGTCAGCTGACTGTCATGTCATGTTAATGAGCTATTGGATCCTTTGGAGCTTAGATGTCTCTACATACAGGTAATCCTTTCTTTATTAATCTAAGACAATTGTCTGTCTTTAAGCAAGAGCATTAACCTGATGGTGGATGGAGACCAGCAGTCTGCAGGAGACTGCTGGAAAAAATCTGACATACCTTTCCTCAGCATCATTGTTTTCCACAGGTCAGTAGAATATAGGAATTTGGAGGGAGGAATAGTAATCTGGCACAGACAGACTAATACTTCTTGAATAAAAATCTTAACATTGAACCACTGTTCATCAGAAATCCAGTGATCCAAGGTTTTGAGCAACACCTGCCCTGGGAGCTGACAGGGTTGGAGACTGCACAGCTGCTTCTCTGCCACTGTACCCCAAGCTGTAGCTGTTGCATCTTGTCCTGCACCTGTAAGTCTCTGAGAAGAGCCTGGCTCTATCCCCTCCCATGAATGAGGTAACTGTAGAGGGCAGTAAGATCTCTCCTCAGCTTTCTGTTACGCATGAACAAACTGTTTTCTCCACCATTCATCCTCACTGCCCTCTCTTGACTTGCTCCAGTATGTCACTGCCTTTCTTGTACTGCAGAATGCAAAATTGGATGTGGTATTCCACATCTGCTCTGAGAGACGTGAGAGGTATGAGCAGAGGGTTACAACTGCCTGATTTGCTGGCTCCAGAGACTGCTCTTGCAGCCCAGCCTTTGCTGCTGGCTCGTGTTCAGCTCCAGCAATGCTGTTCCCCAAACTGTAGTGCTGCTTCAGAGGCTGCACATGTTATTGCACATAACCTTGAGGGGCAGTTTCCCAAGTTTAAGGGAATGCAACTCTGGCTAAACAAAAGGAAGAAGTGCCCACTTGCGCAGGGGGTGACATCACAGCTGCATCACTAGAGGGCAATGGAGCCAGAAGCCAGGTAAAGGCCTCTGCGTCTGCAGGGAATGTACCAGGGGCTGGAACAGGATGCCATTCTATTGCAGCTAGAAGTGGCTGATGACCAAGTTCCTTTTGGCTTAGGTCTGGCAATTGGATATCTCTGTCCCAGGATGCCCTTTCTCATTGCTTGCAGGACAGTTCAGGTGAACCTTCTTCCTGCTTATGAAGTAAGCTAATCTCATGGAGCAGCAGTAAAGGCTGTAACAGCAAGAGTCCGATTTTTCTATCGGAAGTATGCAGTTAAGTAAAAAGTATTGTGTAATCAGGAATGAGTAATAGAATAGCTGTGTGAGGGAGATACCATGTCCCTCTTCAGAGATCTGAGCACTACTGCTCCAAAGGTGCTAACAATAGTTCCTAAACTTCCTGTACCAGTGACTGTCTCTGGCTTCAGGGTAGGGGACATCGACCTTTTACATGTGTGGCATTAGGGTGACCTGTCCCAGACTCCTGGCATTCTTTGGGCAGGAAACTTACCCTAATCATGGGTATTGTGGTAATCAGCAATCTAGAAGCTTGGAACTTGAGTTGAGCCCTAATATTAGAACTGACTTTGGTACTAATAAAGCACCAGCCCAAGGGTGCTTTTGGGCTTTGTTTTCTGTAGTAGATCATGTAAAATCTGCTGTTGTTTCACAGCATTGTGTTAGAGCTGGCACTATGTCTTCAGTTTTGGGGGCTTTATACATTCACTGATTGTGAAAAGCCTTTTCCTTCATTTCTGGAGGGGTAGTGACACTGACTTCAACCTCTCTTTGCTCCTCAGATAGACAAGCTTGGTATGTGTTGTTGCAGAAACGCTAGTCAGGCACTCAGGTAATAAAATCAAACTTTATTCCCCATGAATTCCTATACCAACATACAAAGTTCTGAGCTGAAAAACTGACATGTGTGTACAGCTTAAGCAGCTGTTAATAGAAAAATTCCTGCTTACATCAACTTCAAAAGGTAAACTCTTAAAATGCATGTCTATTTTGGCCATCAGCTTCTTGCAGTTCTAACTATCCTGCTTCTCTTGAAGCTTCACCTTTAATATTAGAACATGCACCCATCAGCTTTAAAAAATGAAAGCAAACACAAATCTAAGAAATAATTGAAGTATTCCACTGATGTGGAGTCAGTCTTCACCTTTTTGTAATTATTAGAAACATATACAAATATATGACTTCTCTTGGGTAGACAACTTTAAAAAGAAGGGGAAGTCTAACAACTCTTAAAGCCTCACCTTTGTACCTGAATTACTTAAACATTTGGTATAAACTTTTAAAGTACTGACTCTGCACAGTATGGCTGTCCCAAGTGTACTGGTCAATCAAGGTAAACTGGTGCAATAGGCACTGAAGATTTCTTCAGCCATTCCCTGCTTGTAACTGCTTTTCCTCATGGGTGTATGTGAAAGGAAGATGAACAGTTCCTGCTGCATGGGAAGGCTGGGGGAAGTAAGAAGAGTTTGGAACTGCAGCAACCACCTTGCATCACCAAGGCTGTAAGGCTGCAGGGGAGCAGCTGCCTACACTGCAAGGGGCAGCAGGTACTGAGATACTTTAGTCTATGTATAAAGTTTTTTCCTGTTTCTGGGATCTGAAATGGAAGCTGTAACTTGCAAAACTAAGCTGTTCCAGCTGTGACTGGTGTCAGTCACTCACAACTGGTGGTCGCTGTGACAAGTTGCTAATACCGAAGTAGTGCTGATGATTGTGGGGGGGTAAAAAGAGCTCTAATCCCCCAGGGCAGCCTGTTTGTGCCCTCCACAAGGGTGGGGCTATCACTTCCAGTGCACAGACAACATCCCTCTGTACAACTCCAGGTGTGAGCCATGAATTGTGTTGCTCTGAAACCTTTTACCTTTTCCCAGGATAGGGGAAAGTAGCTGCTTCTTACAAGGCAGAGCATGTTTATGTAAAGAATATCCTACTTCAAGAATAAAAGTAGCACCTAGCAATAGGTGTTACTAGGTGTTAACTGCATCATTTTGGATAATAGTGACTAGCTTCATGTTTAATCAAGTAACATGACCAAGCAGGCATGCCCTCCAGGCCTGAGGGTGATACAAACTATCCAGTCATATGAACTTTTTCCACTCAGCTGCAAAGACACAGCAAATTGGCAGGACTCCAGCCCAAGTACATATGTGCTACACCATGGCAACTGTGGTGTCAGTTGTCTCTTAAGAACTCAGTTCTGGCATTCTGCTCTCCTTCAGCTTCCTATCCTGGAATGGACTCATTCATGTCAAGGTGACCCAAGCAAGAGCCTGCATGAAGTTACAATTCCCTGCTCTGAGCCAGCTGCTATTTCCAGCAGTTTTGCTTACATTAAGTGCTTAATTCAGTAGTGCTTAGTGTACTCCAGCACTTCTTGGAAGGATTTAGGAAATAAAGTACTGACACTTACTTGTTACAAATGCTGCATGGACTCCTCAAACCAAGTAACTGTATGTTTTTATCTCAAATGCAGGCATATCTCAGCTCAAAGTAGTACAAGGTAGGGGCTGACCACATCCTACTCTTGAACACCCAGTCACTGGGACAGAGTACACAAGTCAGACACCACCTGCCATGACCTGGGGTGGTGACAGAGCAGGAGGGAGCTGGAGGAGAACAGCGGTCTGGCTGAGGTATAAGTCAGTCATACTGGGCAACATTAGACAGGACTGGTTATGTTGAGTGAGACACTTGCCAGCAACAACTGGGAAAGTTAAGCACCACAGCACAGACTTTAAACAGTGCTTAGTTTTAAGCAAATCATAGCCTACTCCTGCATGTTACATTAAACCTAACAGGTCAACCTAACTCTTTTTAGCACCCTTACAGGAAAATACATTTATGACATGCAGTGTACCTAGTGCAGAATCTGCAGTATGGAGATAGTGCTGCTGGTCCAATTCAAGTAGCAGGTATGCACCTCTGTAAAACCACCTGAATTTAAAAGATTGCAAATCTTAAACTGGAGTTGAGTTCCTAAAATTAGGCCACTGATTTGGCCCTGCTCAGACCATGATGTGATCTATGTCTTTTTAGTTGTTTATTTATATGATCCTTAAACAACTTTTTGTTTTCCATCTCCTAGAAGGTATCAGTAAGTTTCTATTTGTTTCATCATGAGTTTCCGGCTGTACTCATAGGCAAGGAACAGTGCCCCATTGGCCAGGAATGCTCGGATCATAGTTGGCTTTAGTCCAGAATACAAGGCAAGTACACCTGAAAATTAAATCAGAGCCAGTTAGCAATTTATTACAATACCTATCTGCATCAACCACTGTGCTTTTACCTTCAAAGGATACTGAAGTAATGCTTCTGCTTCGAGTGGCATGCACACACAGCGAGCTGAACTCACTGTGTGGCAGATGACTAACTGCAGTGTTACTGGATATTTGTACAGAAGGAGTAGCTAGAGCTCTAACATGAAGTTAGCCACTGAAGTGCTTATGTTGGAAGCTTATCTTGGGTATCACAGAGTCTTCAGAAGGCTGCCTTAGTCACCTGAGGATACAGCAGCTGTACCACAGCTGGCAAGGGGACAGAAGGAATAGCAGGACTATGTTGGAGCTGTGCCCCAAGAAAGACTCCTGCTTTGCTGAGTATCTTCCCTAGTAACAGGGCTAGGATTCACATCTGCTGCCATGTATGTTCTTGCACTATCTTATGAGTACCTGGTGAAGGCCTTTTCCAGAGATGAGACACTGAGGTAGATGCCCCAAGTTGACAGGCTAGATAGGATTGATTTATCAAACAGCCCTCGGCCATATATTAACTTCTAGAGGTGAAGAAAAATTCTGTACTGGACTTAACTGGTTCCTTCAATTTTCATGTGTAGGTTTGGTCATAGGTAACAGAGCTTATTCCTTTATCTGCTTTTAATGCATATTGAGCTTTTCTCAGCTTTAAGTGAATTGTCTCCTGAACCAAGAGGCATGGCAGATGCAGTAGGTCTCAATTTCTATATTCCACGCTTTCCAGACCACATGAAGCATCAATATTTCTGTTTGTTAGAAACAGTTATTGTCTGTCTCTTACCACATTCAGTGGACTAGACTTCTTAAGCAATTTTTGGCATTGGAGGGTACAGATTTCAATCTGCAGCCCTGCAGACTCAGGTGCTATGCTCCATACTCACCTTCAGTTCTCACAACAGTTACAAATGTTCCCATAAAGCCTGTCTGTTTTCCAGCCATTGAAAGAACCTGAATTCTGGATTTGACACAGTCCACAGGATACACAGCAATCCACAGACAGCTGCCTCCAAAACCTCCACTTAGTATCAAAGGAATGGGACCTGAAGTTAAGGAATAAGCTTTTATACACACCACAAAATATTCACCAACATAAATATTACATTATTTCAACAGAAGTCAAAGAGAACACCGAGGAACATGTATATGACAAAAGAGCAGTTTCTGCTTCCCCCCAAACCTTTAAGTTAATTTTAAGCCACCAGTAAATTGCAAGTCTAAACAGGAGCTCAAAGGTTCTAAGGAGTGACTCTTAGATTATGGGCCAGGCTAAAAAGGTATAGCTCAGAATTCTGCTTTGACTATATTAACTGAATTAACTCCACTCCTTTCAGACTTGTGATCTCTTTCCATTGCTAAATGTGAAATGGTTTAGAGTAACATCACATAGTGTTACTAATTACCTGTAGAGATTTATTTGATACAGTGAAGTTACTTTGAGATCAGTCACTTTTCATGATGCAACCTCATTTTGTGTTTCAGATCAGATGATTATAAACCTTTTGCAACAGAGACCAGACCACATGCAGCTGAAATCCCAACTCCCAGCAAGACAAAGTATGATTCTGCAGTCTTTCAACAGCAGACAAGCAATCTTTATTCTGGCATCTGCTAGTTTTTTTCATGTCTAATTTTCAATCTCAGTGTTCTCTTACTATCATTGAAATGACAACTAAGGATCAATGTACATTTCAGCATACATTTGAACATATGTTTCAAGAGAATATAGCCAAAGACATCAAAATCACTCTAAACAACCACTGAAATGGAATAGTTCAGAGCTGTGTTACACTATAGAGTCAGACATTTAAGTAGTTTTATAATATTACTGTTAGCTCACTGTATTTTTTCTCCATCTACAAAACATCCTGCTCTATTGGAAAGTGGTCAGTTCAATAATTCATTACTCTATATACACCAAATGCAGACCTCCACATTCTGTATGTCCAGTTTCCTTCATTTTACAACTGCTGTGCACTATTAGCATATCTCCCTCCCTTACATCCCCCACAACAGCATGCTAGAATCCACCTAGAAAAAGGAGCACAATACCTAATTCATCTTTTGATCTCCCAGAGGCAAAGAACGTCCGGCTCACTTCATATCCTCCAAAGAAGAAGAAATAGCCTGGGACTTCCCGCAGCAAAGTGCTCGACAGGCCACGGTAAAACCCGAGGAGACCATCCTTTTGAATAACACCCTTCACTACTGACCAAACTGTACTGATAGAGAGGTTGATTCAGTTAGCGATGCTTAATAGCCAGATAATAGGAAGGTTACAGAATAAGCAACTGCAGCTACAATTAAGGGTTAGATCCATTGTGCAGACAACAGGACTCAAGTAAGACTTAGAACAAGATCCTGCCAGGAACTCTTCATTGGCACCCAGCTTTACTAGTGCCTGAAAGATCTCCAGGGTGCAACCCTCCCAGCCACAACTTGTCTCGGGTTAACAGGGCACTACAAGTGTGACATTGAGCCAATACAGAATTAAAAATAATAAATACATGTAAAAGGGTTTCAGAGATGCTGGGCAGGGTGTATACTTACTTGTGCCCCTGGATTACCTTTCCCAACAACTGCATTTCGTGCATGGCCTGCAGCCGACACTTCACCAGCTCTGTCGGGCAGAGGACAAGGGCGGCAAAGGCAGAGGCAAAGGAGCCTGCAGCAGCATTCTGCAGGTCACTGCAAGAGAGAAACTGCAGAGGGTATTTGGGCACTGACCTTCAGTGCAGTGGAGCCACTGCACAAGCAATCAGCTTCCTGAACCTGTACTCTAAATATCTTCAAGAAAAAATGACAGTCTTGAGGGAAAGTTTCAAGGGAAAAAGGGCAGTTACTTGAACTAGAGAGAAAAAACCTAGCTCATCCCATCTTCACATACAACTTAAATACATCCTTTTGACACTTTATTGCAACCTTTACCCTTTTTGCTATACTTCAGTGATTGCAGCAGAATAAACACTATCAAATCTTCCCCTTCCTGGTTTTTATAAACCTTTCCATAGACTTGTTTTACTGGGCAACTTTTTGGGTACTATTTACTTCCTCAAAGAGAATAGGAGCAATAATCACCTCATATAGATGTCTGTTTTCAAATTCACCTTACTGGTATTAATACTGTTTTTCAGTGGAAGATGCTAGAAATCTGAAACCAAGGCACAACAGACTTGGTCTTTCTATGGATGTGCTGCCATGAATGCAACCATGTGAATCTGAGATAGGACAAACAACATAAACCACAGCACTTGAACAGGACAGCATTGCAATCTGCACTGACTCAGTGTTCCAAAACTGGGACTTGCTTTGCAGTGGTATCACGCATAATGCAAAGTCTGGGCTGCTAAACTGCCAGGACTAAAAAGGCCAGTACTCCAGGGTCACACTGCTTATGATACACTTTAAATGGGCTCCTACAGACACCAGTGTGTTGGACAGGAGCTGCACAATAGCACAGAGAAGGCAAGTGAAGCTTCTCCTTTCATTGCCCAGGGAGTCTGCACAGCAGAGATTGACCTCACTGCTACACAGAATCTCTTTCCAGGCAAGGGAGATGTTTGCCCTGTGCCTAGCAGTTTTATACACCTACAGTATCAGAGATTAAAGCTACAACTTTCCACCTTAGAGAAGCATCACAGAACTAAAATTGTGACATGAAGCAAAGCTTGTGACATATTCAGATACGGCAATGACAAGAACTGTCAAAGTGGAAGAAACTTCCAGTACACAAAGCCTGGCTTAACAGGGATGCAAGATGCAACCCAATAAAGCTCAAGACAGAGCAAGGCAGAGTTAAAAATACAGTACCCTGCAGTCATTAGGCTATGAGCTAGAGCAAGGCAATAAGATTACACATTAGGATACAAAAACATAAAATACATGCCTTAAAACTATGCACTGAAGGGTGCACAGGATCCTTTCTCCTTCAGCAGAGGAAAAAAAACCAGATGCTATCAGACCTGAAAAGAATTCTGACACATGTACATAAAGGGCTAGATTTAGCCATAATTCAGATCTTTTCTACTTTTGCCTGTGATGTTTAATTCTACATACAACAACTCAACTAGGCCCACTGTTTAGGCTTTGGTCTTTATTATAGTGAACCTCACTGCAGAAGTAATAAGCCTTGAATCCTGTTGCAGTTCCCTCTCAACTCAAAATGCCTAATTCAGTTTTTTTTTCTGTGTGAGAGACTTTTGATCACACAGCACAGGAGCAAGAATCCTCTACTCTTACAATGCTGCTGCTTCTGAAAAACAAGATAAATGCCTTTTATAATTAAAATAACCTGCTGAAGATGACTAGTCTTGCACTGAGAAGGTCAAACTGAGATGAACAAGGATAATAGTTCTCTCAGTTTAGTTTTTGGCACAGAACAAAATCAGTTTGGTTGGACTAAGTGGGCATTTAAAGACAAATGGAATTCAGCACTTCTCTTTCCATTTGGTTCTCTCAGCTTTGACTTTAGCATGGAATGAAATCGGTTTGGTTGGACTAAATGGATGTTAAAACATAAAGGTAATTTAACATTTCTCTCTCCATTTGTTTTCTTTTTCACTCATGCTTCAGTGGCAAGTGTTCCTTTAACTGGAAAAAACGTTGTTTTGTAACCCTCCTAACTGTTTTGCAAGGCTTCAACACACTGAACAGGGTATCCCTAAACACAAGCAGGTTAGGCAAGTTTATATCCAAGCCATCTGAAGGTATTACCGCAAAGGTAACTTAAAGCAAAACCAAACCATTATAGCTGGTTTTGAGAAATCTCAAACACTATAAAACAACAAAAAAGTGGCAAGCAATTGCTTAGATATGGGTAAGAAAAATGGTCAGGTTCACCTCAGTTTGCAACTTCATGCATTTTCTTCTTCAGGATAAGACAGTATGACAGTTTTGAAACAGCAATGAAGGTAATTTTAGTTCTTTACCTGTCATGTCTAGAGGATAGCCACCTCATCAGGGTTTGTTCCCTCCCCCACAGCACCCTATAAAGGCGTCTCGATTTTTGCACAATAAGAATGTGTAGAGACATCCTGGACAGACCACATGTGCTGGTGGCACCACTGCAGACTGTGTCAATACAATTCTCTCACACATGCACCTCAAAAGATCCCCCCACAATGATCCAGATGAAGAGACCAAGGGAGCAGCACCAAGGGAGAAATCTTTCAAGTAAACTTAAATTGTTCAGTGTTTTGTCCTAGTACATCCATGTGGTCACACTATTTGCTCTTCAGTCAACAATGTATTAAACAGCCATCCTGGATGAGGAAAGTACCAGTACTTGACCAAGGAAAGAAGGGTCAGACATCAGAGGCACTTGCTATTGCTACACATTCAAACTACATTTCTTATCCTACTACAAAGATGTGAAGTAGTACCTCTATATTGTTTGAATGTTTCCTGTGATACCTCCTCTACATACACCATAAAAATGCCATCTCAGTCACTTGAAGAGATGATCCTAGGACCTCTGCAAGTTTGTGGCCTACCTCCCAGGAGTATCACAAAAGACAGTTAAGTGAAGCATGCTGCTGGTAGGCCTACCTCCTACATTTTAGTGGGTAGGAAAAGATAACGGGTCTGTAAGCTGAGCAAGCAGAAACTCCTTGATCTAAGAAAGCAATAAAAAAGGTGAAAGCAATTCTGTCTCAGCTACCAGAAAACAGTGAAAGAGAATGCAAGTAGAGAGTAATTAATATAATTTGTTTCTTCATCACTTAATATTCCCTCGTAGTAGGCCTCAGTCTTAAGATACAGCATATCTTAACATGTGACAGGAGAACACCTCACGTAATGCCACTTTTAGATACTTGTCGTGCACTCAGGCAGCTACCCATGTCACATGAGAGACCTCAAATGCAGAATCATGGCTCCCCCAGCTACTTCCATTTGGAGACAGATGCGACAGAGGCAGAACAAAGCTATTAATAAAAAGCTGGATGAGGTTAACCTTGTGTTACTCTTTGAATGGAGTTGTCTTGAAAAGTCTTTTACATGCTGTAGAGCATCCCATGGATGGAGAAGGTGCAGCTACTCTCAGAGCTGCACAGCAGACATACCTTGAGAAATGCCTACCAGCAAGGCACACTGAGACTGCTGGACCAGTGACAGCTCTAAAGTGATGTACCTCGAGAAAAGCCATGCTAGCTAGAAAGAGATTATAGTCATTATACCAGTGCATAAATCCAGGACTTGTTCACACCCTAAATCCTCTGCACAGCTCTAGTCTCATGAGCTAAAAACCCAGATACATTAGAATTACAAGAGTTTCAGAGAAAGGCAACAAGGACAGCTAAAGGAACAGTTTCAGAATGCTCACGGACTAGGAGGGCAGGGATCCTTCCATCTATGTAAAGACTCAGGTGGGGAAGAGGGGCATGGAGCAATGGATCTAAAAATCCCAAGCAGATAATGGCTAAAGGACCAACTGTCTCTTCCAGTTACAGAGTTAATGATTATCACCTTCAGAACACCCTGCCCAAGTGTACTGTAGATGGAAGGAACTTAGAAGAATTCAAGGGGAGACAGGACAAGTGCTTCAAAAGAGATCCAAAGTCACTTACTGCATCACACCAGGCTCAAGAAATTCTCTGAACTAAGAACACAGCCTGGCAGAGGACTCAGTTAGTACTAAACACTTTCTCTCTTCTTTTTCATTCTTTAGGCAACCACTTACTGCCAGTGCTGTAGACAACACACTATGCAAAATTAGACATTTGGTCTAATCACCATTGCATCAAACTTTTGAAACTTAAATAAATAAATTTTTAAAAGCAAGGCAATATCAGAAAAGTGATCTTTCCCCTTAGTATGCCCCCCGTAAGAACCACTACCTTCCTTGCAAAATCAGAACAACCTATAGATCAAGGGAACGCTAACTTTCAGGTGTTGCAATGCTGAGTCCCTTTGGTAAAATGTTCCAGGTCTTGAATATTCCAGTTAAGCTGTGATTATCTAAACCAGCCAGATGCAGTGACAAGTAGGTGGCTCTGTTGTAGTTAGGCACCGCATCCTAGCACAAAGGTCTATATTCCAAAACTTACTACACTGCACACTGGCAAGGGGGCCCTCGGACATCAGTTGCACCCGACAACACATTATATACAAGTAGCAGTTGCATGGCTTTTTACTTATTTAATTTAAAATACGAAACAGATTGTTATTACTAACCTGAGCTTTGTTTTCCTGTCTACTCCAACAATTCTTCTCACAAGTTGTTGGCAAAATCCATAGCACATGAACAGAACAGAGTTCTCCGCGATGTTGGCTACAAGAGCTGGTGTGGTTCCTTTGTAGAGGCCTCGAAACCCCACTTGCTTATAGGTTTTCACAAAACAGTCAACGATTCCTTTGTACATGTCAGGGAACGTCTGCATCTTCACCTTTGCAGTGTCAAAGGGCTGGCCAGTCACCACGCATGCTGTCCCACCTAAGCAAGCAGTAGAAGTTAAGAGGGTAGCTGAAGGTTATTACAACTGAAATGCCTATTCACAAACAGCACTATTAGGAAAATCACACGGAAAGCAAAGATGAATTAATTCTCTGCAGGAGAAGACAAGTGCGCTGATTTTAGCACAATGGCATCCATTGTCCGTGGTGAATTTAGTTACCTGAAGAAAGAAAATCATGCATAAGAGCAGTAACAGCTTGATTCTCATTAAAAATTTCTTTACCTTAATAAAAGCAAGCATCTATATGAATCAGTTCCCTTACATAAACAGGTACTGGATTAGAGGTATTGTTCTGCAATCAAGTCACTTTTGTTAATGAGGTAAACATTTTCCCTTGCTCATTAATGCAATGGTTCAGAAGCCATCTGATTTTACATTCCAATAACAAAAAAACTGAAAGATTTGTAATCAAGTGAGACAAAGATTCCTCTAGGACTGCTGAGAGAGTGCTAAAATTGATGATACATTATAAATTGATAACCAAAGACTCAAGCCCTTTAATTCAAAACTCCAGATGATTCTTGTTTACATTTATTCCCACGTATTAGAAGAAAGCATCCAGGATAAACTGAAAAAGAGAAAAAGGGCAAAGTTTCTCAACATGTTCTCTTTTCTAAACTGAACTGCAAGGTCAATATCCTAAAAACTTGTGAGATGTTTCCTTCAATGTAATCAATAACCACTTTGCCCACAGTGCAGTGTTCTTCCACAACATCTAACTCATTTCAGTAGTCTGCAGAAAGAGCTAGCGTTACACTTTTTCAGTAAGACATACCCGTGTACACTGCCAGCAATCTATTAGGAGCCAATAGCTAACAGGAAGCATATGATAGGTGTACCTTATATAGGCTTTATGGTTTTGCTTTTTTATCAAGAGAGAATAACCATCCTAAAACCTGATCTTTAACCCAAGCACCGTTAACGTGCATGTACCTTAAAGAGGGCAAGTTCACAAGATGTATTTTCAGCTATGAAACTGAAATAATTACCTGTAAGTGCAGATAATGTAAAGAACCTGAAATAGAAACAAATGCATGAATCCAGTTAAGATTAGTTATTTTTCTTCCAAGGGGGGAGTAGAAGGGTAAGCAAGTGTTTGTTTAACCAGGGTGATTTTCAATTGATTTTACTGCTTGCAAACACATTTGTGTTACACTGTTGTTGCTTCTTCTGCAAAGAGGTACTTCAGGTCTTTAAGAGGAACTCAAGATCCTAGCTCCCTTAAAACCTCATTCTCAACCAGATAGCTCATTAAAATCTTCAGACCAAATCGTGCAAGGAAGCATGAAGAGCTTCTTGCTCTGGGAAGGATAACCAAGGAGAGAAGCAGCTGACTCAGACCAGTAACATCCATGTAAGCCTCAGATGAAAAGCAGAGCTGGAAAGGTTCACCCAATGCCACTGCAGGCAAGTCAGGCAGATGTTAGTCTACAGGACAAATGCTGGGTTCGTGTATAAAGGTAGACCTAAAACATCCTCATGGAGTAAAATAATGGCTGTTGGAAGAAGCCCAAGAAAACCAGGAATGGTGTTGGAAATGCCAAAGCTGAAAAATTGGGAGCTGACTGTGAACGGCTCTTCCAAAAAGAGAAAGGGCTGTCCTTGCACAGTCATTGGAGGTGGCACAAGAAGCCCAGTAAACTACAGCAATGAACTTTGCAAGCCTCAAGGTAAAGACCAAGAGTCTCAGTTAATATCTAAAATAAAGAAAAAAAATCATTCTTCCAAACAGCAGTAAAGTCTAAAAAAGCAATAACAAAACCAAAACAAACCAGAAAACCAAAAAAGTCAATGCTGCTTGAATGTTTAGGCAAACATGGTCCTAATAATAACATGGTAACAGTGAGGAAGAGAGTACTACTTAATCAAAGAAGTGATTAGAGGTTGCTCAGATCCTGGCAAAGGACTATGACCCACAGGCAGGTAAATGACTTATTTATCCTTTTTCAGAATTTACTTGGTTCAATATGCCATACTTATCAGCTAGTCAAGACTCTATCTGGCAAGGAAGGTACAACCAGGTTACATGTTTGCTGGAGGAACTAGCTGTTTGCCTAGTTAAATGCACTTTCTAAATGGTGCAGAGACGTAACACAAACAGGCACTACCAATGAACATGGGCAATACACAGCAAGTATTGTTACTAGCAAGTATAAAGAACATGGAAAATAAATACTAGAGGAACAGTAAAACTATTACAACAGAAGCAGCAAAGAAACAGAACAAGAACAATGATTTAGGATTACTGAAGTAATGTTGAAAAAGGTCTGAATTCCTTCCTCTTATGTGAAGGAAGGAGAACTATACCAGAGGAGAAAACAGCGTAATTAGTTCTGAGATCCTCTAACCTCTACCACCAAAAGCCAGGCAAACCTCAAGGGCATGCCCTGTTAACCTGAACATGCACTTAGAACAGTATCACCAAGCAATAGATTTCTAAGCTAATGCTAGTTGCCAGCTCTTGTAGTAGCCAAGATGAGACACACCAGGCTTCAAAAGCCACAGCACCCCACTGTCCTGGATGTTAACAGCAGTACTCCCGAGCTGAAGTACTAGGAAGGAAAGCAACCACATCTCCCATTTAAGGACCTGGGAACACCTGCAAAACCATCAAGAACTGCACAGATATTGAGTTGCTACTTTTGTAAATAGAGAGGCTGTAATAGTTTACTGAGGACCCAAAAACTAAGGAGAATGAACAGACTAACAGACACATATTTTTTCCAAGGCAATGAAGGAATAATAGCAGAAGCACTTCTCTTCCCTTGCAGGGGAGGAGGCTGTTGTCTAGTCAATAACATATTTTGCAAAGGCTAACAAAGCAGGTTTTCACTGGGCAAAATGTGATGGCAGATGAAATACTTTACAAAGGTGACACATTGGACTCATGTTATCTCTCACCCCTTGCTTTCTCACTGCACTAAAGTTAAATCCACTCTGACAAACTACCTCAAATAACTACCCTTGAATACACTTACCACCATTAATACTGTCATATTCGCAGCATTAACACCGTCATAAAAGGTCTGACTGTAATAGCTATTGTATGGGAAAGAAAAAACATGAAACTGTTTAAACTGGTTACAACAGTACATTAGACAAATCTTTCCTTCCACCTTTTCTGTACAAACACTGTCAGCTTAGACATCTCAAAAAGACCCCTTTTCCCTGGCAGAGTTAAAAACCTATTCATCCCTCAGCCACAGACATTAATAACATCCTAATGTCAGTGAGACAATGTAACTGTTTCCACATGTGTGACACTCAAAACTGGTCCAGCAAAACTTTAGAGAACAAACTAGACTGAAGTGGAAGTTAAATGAATTTACCATCAGTCCTAGTACTGAGCTTCCCAGCTTTTAAAGATTCACACTGGGATGTTGTCTGAGCCAACAACCCTTCAGATAGCCTCTTTCCCACTTCAACTAGAGAGAGTTCCTGTGACAAAAGCAGCACCTCAATCACTCACAGACTGTTTAATTCCCAAACTCTACTTGTGACTGACTCTTAAACTCATGTAAGCATGAGAAATAAAACTGAAACTTAAACCTCCTTCCAGAAAATTATTAGTCTGAAAGAAGGGTTACACCTTCACTGTTTGGCAGGGGTTTCACCAGGGAGGAGAGAGAGTGATGCAGTCACAACACTGGCCCAGGTCAGCTGCTTCACCTCCACATCCTTAGAACACAGAAGGCAAGAACTTCTATAGGAATGGGAAACTGCTTTTAGATCAGTCAAAGGTATTAAAATGATCTCTCAGAAGTTTTGTGCAATTAAGTTCTCTCCAGCATTACCTGCAGCTCCTGCTGTGAGGTCAATAGCAGCCTGAATAGCAGAGTTGATCCTCATGTTTCACGCGTGCTTATCAGCTACTTCAGAGAAAAGTCTCCTGTTTCCTGGAAGGTGTCAAGATATCAGCCTCCTGAAGGAAGAGAAAGATGAAGCACACAGGATTTACAACAGTAACTCTGACAGGCATAAGTATCACACAAATGCTTTCAAGTCTACCCTTCCATTTAGCTTGTTCTAAACCATTTAGAGACAGAAAATGCTTGTCCTCAGCACTGAGACGTAGCATATATGTATTCTGATGGATTACCTTTGCTGCATTAGGCAAGTCCTCTGGAGTATCACTGCCTAGGTCTGGACTACTTCGGCTTTCTAGCTTCTAGTCTCCCTGCATCTCTCAGATGAAAGCAAAGAGTACCTCCAGAGAACAGCATTGAGCATTACCTTTCTATTGATTATAGAAGCATAGTCAACATGAGGTGTCTAAGGCTAGATGGCAGGAATATTTTCTCCACGTCAGCTCCCCACCTATAAATCAAAACAAAGAATTGCTCTCCTCATGGTGAACAGCAGCTAGGAAAACTGTATTCATGATGATACAGGCACGTTAGGCATTTCTACATGGCTCTCAGGAGATACAAGTAGAAAAGGAATGAATATGAACACCTAGAATTGTGTCTGGCTGTCATGTTCCCAGTGGAAGTCCACCACACACCAACATATTATAAATAAGAATTACACCTCATCTTTCAGGAAGGCAGCTGGAAAGCAGAAAAACAAAGGCAACACTTTCAAATAAAACATTCAAATGAATTCAGATTTCAAGCTTGCAGCAAGGTACTTTCACTAGGAGAGCAGTTAAAACAAGCTTGCTTATTTGGATTAAAATCACTGAGCTGAAAAGCTCCCACTGTTTCAGAACCATGTCACTGAGCTAGGCACACACAGCTAGGTGGTGCCGTCAAAAAAGTGGTATGAATCTTAAAAAAAAACCACACAAATACACGCATGAATCAGCCTTTCATTGACTTTTAAGCCTGACTTCAAGCACAATACATCAGTAAACAGAATGTTTTTCACTCTTCTACCTACTGCAGTATTTGAGGCCTGTTGTCTCCCAAAACATATTTTGGAGTAATATGAATGGGAAACATAATTCCCAGTAGGCTACATTGAAAGAATAGTTTAAAAAAAACCCACACTGTATGAGCCATGTCCTTTTTACAACTTTTATGTTACAAGCACAGACATTTGCATACAGGCAAGGCTTTAAGAAAGTCTTTCTCTAAACAGATTTCTTATTCCTGAAACTTAAAAAAACCCAGTAGGCCAAATACTGTCACAAAAGTCAATTCACACATCCCATCTGTTTAAGATGTGTTCCATGAATCTGAACATAATGGGTTTAAAAAAAACCCCAAAACTATTCTTGTAATAAATTACACTAATACATGCAATTTCCAAATCCTGGTTACAGATTTGAACTGTTTCACCACTGACAGCATAGCATGCTAGGTGTTATTTTGAAACAGAGGCTCCAAGACCAAGTTACACTTCATTATCTTACACACCTTGTTAACGCTCACACAGCACTCCACAGGTTTGCTTCGCATTTAGAGGAAGAAAAGAACAAATCAGCAAGACAGCCCCTGAACGAAGTGAACTACTAGAGAGCAACAGCAGCCTGCCTTCAGTAATATGCACGCTGCTTGCATCATGCTGTATGTTTACCAAGCCGTGACAGTCCCCACAGGGAGCACATGCCAAATCACCCAGATACCCACTGAAAGCCCAGCAGCAGAAGGAAAAACAGAGATGCCTATAAAATTATGGATACTTTATGAGCCAAGGAAGTTTCATTTCCTTATCCATAAGAGCACATTGCCGCTTTCATAAGATTGAAGACCTACTCAAAACTACATTGGTATTATATATGCATGTACCTTCCCTCCTATTTTTTCCTATTTGTAATAACACCAGCAGATTAAAAACTGCTTGTAGATATAGCACGGCGACAACAGCTCCGTAACTTCCAAACCAAATCCAAGCCTCAAACCTGGAAACACAGAAGTACCAGTTAGCATGACAGGTCCCACAGAGCCCTCCACCCGCGGCCCCAGATGTTACTCTCTGCTGATGCATTCTCCAAACACTAAGCAGACAAACCCAAAGGGCAGCACTGCTCCTCGCAAAGGGCCGCAAAGGCAGGCTGTAACTCT